CCAAGGGATACAGGGTGTTGAGTCATTCATCAGTACATCAGGTTGCCGGTAGTACAGGGTGTGGAGCCATTCATCAGTACATTAGGTTGCCAAGGGATACAGGGTGTGGAGTCATTGATCAGTACATCAGGTTGCCGGTAGTACAGGGTGTGGAGCCATTCATCAGTACATCAGGTTGCCGGTAGTACAGGGTGTGGAGCCATTCATCAGTACATCAGGTTGCCAAGGGATACAGGGTGTGGAGCCATTCATCAGTACATCAGGTTGCCAAGGTATACAGGGTGTGGAGTCATTCATCAGTACATCAGGTTGCCAAGGGATACAGGGTGTGGAGTCATTCATCAGTACATCAGGTTGCCGGTAGTACAGGGTGTGGAGCCCAGTATCCAGTACCAACAAATGTTGAGAATAATAATAGACATTGTACCTACAGCACATCAGGAGCAGTGAGAGTGTCTGTTATTTCAACCATCAATCATGACCACTGTCCACATGATAATTGATTCACTCCAAGCTCTAAAGTAATTATCTAAACGTACAGTACACTTCACAATTTCATTACTTTACAGGACCCTTATTTTGCCTACAAGGACCCTTACAATTATTTATTGGTGGTACCTTGGACCCGACTTGGGTCAGTCAAGGTAAAACCCTGCATCTATCTCTGGCAAGTTGAGCCAGTATGACCACACCACAAGGACAAACATTGGTTTGGGCTAATGCAACCATGTTTAGGATGGACTAGAGAAACATCAATTTTTTAATAATAAGTTTAAAATAATGTCTCAAATAACCTTACAAGCAAACAAAATGCAAAATATTAATAAATTGAAACATATTCCAAAAACATTTCCAAAGGCTATTATATATTTGTAACAAATGTTATATTTAGGATAACACTTTCTTAGTAAAGTACAGATTCTAGTACTTTGGGGGTTGAGTCCCATCCGGGATTCGAACTCACACTGCCAGAGTGAGGCACCTAATCGCCAGCACACAAAGTCAGCGAACTAACACATTCAGCCACCAAGGCTTCCACGAAAATGAAAGTCCGACTGGTAGTCTAGATTACGTACTTTGTTAACCACTCTGACACCATTAAGAATAAGAGCTTGAGATTAGCTCTGTATTAGCATAGAATACTCATAAAATCAACTGAAGTCTGCAGACAAATCAAATCCTTGCGTATCAAATAAGCAACAAAAACTATGAATACGCTATTGAAATAAAATTAAAGTGTATATTATAACTATTAGATAAAAACAATTGACTGATATATAATATAATTGTGTATCAGCCGATCGCTAATTCACTTACCGACAATTACATTCAGAAAAGCTTCTGTGACAAACATACTGATAGACGCCAATTGAAAAGCACAACGTGCCAAGTCAGTGCACATGTTGTATCTAAATCAGTCACTGATTGGTAATTAAAACAATAGCGCCTTTTTTACAATGCTCTCACATTGTAGTAGTGTTCCAAGTATTGAGCCTACACGATTTTTAGTATTCAAGCAATGTATTATCAGAGAATTCATGCGGGTTGTTCATCCATAGTATTTACTGTAACCAAGTCGGCCCGGAGATCCTGCCGAGGTCAGCATATTTTATCAGGTGTTTCTGCCACTGAGTGTTATTCCGACATCTAAACACTGATGTTATCACGGACACTGTGATCAAACACATTCCACCTCCCGGTAACTCACACTCAGGGTGGGGCTGGCAATAGGACCCAAAGGTCAAAGATCAGCTGATAAGTGACCAGGTATGGTGTGGAAGTTCTAATGGGGGTTTACCTGCGTCTGTCACTGATACCTGGCTGGTGGGGGGTTGGGGGGGGGGGGTTGGGTTCACACGTGTAGTTTTAGGTCTGGAACTTTAACCTGGTACCACTGCTTTTATCTTGTATAGCAGCATTAGAAATTGGCACTAGTCCTGTAGTCCTTGCCAAACTGCCCAATTGTTAAAATATCATAGTTTCTATCTTGTATGAGATGCTCGATTGCTTGCTTATTTGTTGTTTAATGCCGCACACAGCAATATTCCAGCTATATGACGGCGGTCTGTAAATAATCAAGTCTGGACCAGACAATCCAGTAATTGACTTCAAGAGCATCGATCCAAGCAATTGGGATACGATGACATGCATCAGCCAAGTCAGTGAGCCTGACCACCCGATCCTGTTAGTCCCATCTTACGACTAGCATAGCCACCTTTTACGGCAAGCATGGGTTGCTGAAGACCTGTTCTATCCCGGATCTTTACGGGTCTTGTTTGAGATTCAGGCTTGTCCATCTGTGTTATTGGTTTGAGATGAATGGTTTGGTTTCCAGTAGGAAGTAGGGGGTGGGGGTGTCAGGGGATGATTTAACTGTTGCCCTGTTGGCCCATGGCCATTTAAAATTACAAAGTGCTTGCTGAAATGTAAAGTAGATGGCCCTTCTGGCTTGTTAGAATTTCACCCCTTCTCCATGTATGTATAATTGATTTAATTGGATCATCTCGGTAGAATGACAACCATTTTGCAATGTTGTGTACAACAACAGTTTTATTTACTCATACATCGCCATGATATGAGGCAAATGGAAGCCAAGATTTTATCTCAGAGTGCAAGAAATAATGTTTTAGGGGTGAGGAGTTATAAATTTTCAGAGCCCCTCTAGGTGGCTATGCAAGCTCAGGTTCAGCCACTTCGCGGCCTCCACCATTAAGGCCAGTTATTTTGAAGAGGTAACTTTTAAAAGGAGCAATCCCTGCTGGCTACAGAATTTGTTGTTAAATCTACACCTGGAGTAGGGGGTTATGGGGTTGGGGTTATGGGGGGTGGGGGTAGGGGTTATGGGGGACGGGGGTTATGGGGGAAGGGGGTTATGGGGGGAGAGTGGTCTTGGTTTATGTTCAGGATAAATTGTTGTTTGTACATTTCCTCATTCAGTTTCCAAACAAAGTTTGAGTAAAAAAATTTAGGAGTCCCATGCTGACATCATAGAATTCATTTGTATCCATTCGAGGTTGGAGTCCGTTTCTTTGGGTGAGGTGAAACGTCACAGTACTAGCTTCTGGACCCTTGGAGATCCGGCTAGGAGTGATCTTTATCAACCCATGCTTTTCGTAAAAGGCAACAAACAGGATTCGGTGGTTGATGCATATCTTCGTATCCCCATTGTGTAGATCAGTGCTTATGATGTCAATCACTGGTTTGTGTTGTCCAGACATGATTATTTCCAGACAGCCACTGGTTGATACTGTTTCCACTGGAATACAATGATACACATAGACATAGCAGGTCTAAAAACCATTTTTATCCCCCCGGCATATAATGCGGGGGGATATAGCGATCAGCCAATCTGTCTGTCCGTCCGTCCGTCTGTCTGTCTGTCTGTCTGTCTGTCTGACCGTCTGTCCGTCCTTTTCCGGGGCAGAATTCCAAAACCATTCAGTGTATTTGATCGAAACTTGGCAAAGCTATCAGGCACATACTGAAGTGGTGCCTTTTGATATTTTGGGATTTTTCTAATTTTTATTTTTTTTCAATTGATATGGAATAAAGTTGGACATGGACTCAATTTGGGATGGGGTTTGTTTCCGGGGCAGAATTCGAAAACCATTCAGTGTATTTGATCGAAACTTGGCAAAGCTATCAGGCACATACTGAAGTGGTGCCTTTTGATATTTTGGGATTTTTCTAATTTTTATTTTTTTTCAATTTTTATGGAATGAAGTTGGACATGGACTCAATTTGGGATGGAGTTTGTTTCCGGGGCAGAATTCGAAAACCATTCAGTGTATTTGATCGAAACTTGGCAAATCTATCAGGCACATACTGAAGTGGTGCCTTTTGATATTAATTTTTTTTACAAATTTTTATTTTTTACAATTTTTATGGAAAGAAGTTGGACCTAGATTCCATTGGGGAACGGGTTTGTTTCCGCGCCAGAATTCGAAAACAATTCAGTGGGTAAACAATGTATGCTTCTTAAAGAACATTCAACTGTTGACTCATTACATACATAATTGCACATTTACTAGTGGTTACTTTAGAGACAGCTGCCGGGGGGATATGTCATCTTTATGATGACTCTTGTTATCTTTGCGTATCCCTCATTCGAGGTTGGAGTCCGTTTCTTTGGATGAGGTGAAACGTCACAGTACTAGCTTCTGGACCCATCGAGATCCGGCTAGGAGTGGTCTTTATCAACCCATGCTTTTCGTAAAAGGCAACAAACAGGATTCGGTGGTTGATGCATGTCTTCGTATCCCCATTGTGTAGATCAGTGCTCATGATGTCAATCACTGGTTTGTGTTGTCCAGACATGATTATTTACAGACCGCCACTGGTTAATACTGTTTTCACACACATAGACATAGCAGGGCTAAAAACCATTTTTATTTTTGCCAATGACAGCCATAGTCTGCTACCAATGTCTTTTCAGGTATCATTGTTGTTTTGATGGTTACAAGATCCCAGGCATAGTGTCACCAGGTGTTCAGGTCAAACACACTGGCATGACAAAATTGTTTTTGCTTTTGACAAAAAATATAAACATTCTTTCACATAATTTTTGGAAAAAATCTGAGAAATGTCAGGCAACTAACTGTTTATACTTTTTCTGTTTGGGCCTTGCTTTTATGACAGTGGATTCACATTATGATGAAATATAATCAGTTTGAGCAAGTCATGGTGTTTATTCATACAATTAGAACCTTGTGTACAGAGGACAGTGTTACTTCAGTTCATCCGGACCCGTGAAGATCCGGGGTAAAATAGATCTTCAGCAGCCCATGTTTGCCTTAACAGGCGTCTATGCTTGTCGTAAGAGGGGACTAACAGGATCGAATGGTCAGGCTTGCTGACTTGGTTGATGTATGTCATAGTATCGCAATTGTATAGATTAATGCCCATGATATCAATCACTGGATTGTGTGATCCAGACTTGATTATCTACAGACAGCCGTCATATAGGCGAAACATTGCTGAGTGTGCGTTAAACAAACAAATCAGTTCAGCTGAAACACTGAGTAGGGCTTAAGCATGTTGTATCGTGTGGGCACCGTCAGCTGATGACCGATCTCCTCCGTGATCTCCCCGGTGATGAAAATTCCTCCTGCCCGCTGTCTGCCCTCCACCGCTAGGCTCGTGAGCATAGGATTGAATATGACGGTCAAAAACCAAGCCAAATCAGTCCAAGATCATCAAGTCCGAATAGAGGAAGACATTTTTGTTACAGCAGGTATAAATGGTGCTTGTAACATGATCTGAGTTCTAGATGCCGAGACCTGATGACGGCAATCAGATGAAGTCAATTTTATAATTTGGATCAACTTACTACAGTGCTTGTACCACTTGGAGATGTGAGTGAGTGAGTGAGTATGGTTTTATGCCACTTTCAGCAATATTCCAGCAATATCACGGCGGGGTACACCAGAAATGTACATCACACATTGTACCCATGTGGGAATCGAACCCGAGCCTTAGGCGTGACAAGCGGATGCTTTAACCACTAGGCTACCCCACCGCTTCTTGATGTGCATCATAGAGTGGTAGTACAATATTCAATTTCAATAAATAATATGATGGCAATGGTCAGTATCAAATACAAAAGTACAGTGGTGATAGCAAAAGTCAGTGATAATAACATATGTTCACATGGTGGTGACTGTGGTCAAGCCTCCTAGATGGGCTAGGCAGGGAATCGGGGATGATGAGCAATCCTCACATGAAAGCTGGTTTCCGCAATGAAAATGCTTAAGAGATACGAAAACAGCATATTGTTCCCTTTTATCGTCTAACTAACTACTGGAAAGTTCCACATAGTTTCCACACATAGAACATTACAGAAATTTCAATATTGTTATACTATTACTGTCCACGGTAGTCCGCGGTATACCGAACTGGAGGATTGCACACCACACAAGCATCTAAATATAGTTACTTCCTGACGACTGGTCACTGTCCATACACAATGCAATGAGTGTCTATTGAATCTCTACAGAAACAATGTAACAATGTAACAATAATTGTTAAACAATAAAATACACCGCCATATAACATTCCCCATGGTTGTCAGGTATTCCTTGTTAACCAAATGGGTTCTGGGGACCCAGGCTACTGTTCAGCGTAACTGTCCAGACTGTGACTTCCGAGATATTGGTACAAAGATGTACGACTGTTTTGGAAGATTGGCAGCCACCTGTGACTGGGCTGGCTGATAGAAACAGCAAACAAGGTCCCTACTGGCTTGTCGGTTTGTGTGGCCGGAATGGATAACTGTCTGAGAACAGATTTTCAGATGAAATCTAGACGATTGTATTAGTTGGCATTTAAATGGCCAGATGGTATAGATAGTTCAGAAATTGTCAAACGATGAAGTCATGGCTTTGGATGGTTTGCAGACATCTTCAAATTGCTGACGTCATGGCTGGATGGTTTGCAGACACCTTCCATTGAAGACGTCATGGGCGGATGGTTTGCAGACATCTTCAAATTGATGACGTCATGGACGGATGGTTTGCAGACATCTTCAAAATGATGACGTCATGGCCGGATGGTTTGCAGGCACCTTCAGTTGATGACGTCATGGCCGGATGGTTTGCAGGCACCTTCAGTTGATGATGACATGGCTGGTTGGTTTGCAGGCACCCTTAATTGATGATGTCATGGCCGGTTGGTTTGCAGGCACCTTCAATTGATGACATCATGGCCGGTTGGTTTGCAGGCACCTTCAATTGATGACGTCATGGGCGGATGGTTTGCAGACAGCTTCAGATTGATGACATCATGGATGGATGGTTTGCAGACATCTTCAAAATGATGACGTCAAGGACAGATGGTTTGCAGGCACCTTCAATTGATGACGTCATGGCCGGATGGTTTGCAGGCACCTTCAATTGATGACGTCATGGCCGGTTGGTTTGCAGGCACCTTCAATTGATGACGTCATGGCCGGATGGTTTGCAGACATCTTCAAATTGATGACGTCATGGACAGATGGTTTGCAGACATCTTCAAAATGATGACGTCATGGCCGGATGGTTTGCAGGCACCTTCAATTGATGACGTCATGCCCGGATGGTTTGCAGGCACCTTCAGTTGATGATGTCATGGCTGGTTGGTTTGCAGGCACCTTTAATTGATGACGTCATGGCCGGTTGGTTTACAGGCACCTTTAATTGATGACGTCATGGCCGGTTGGTTTGCAGGCACCTTTAATTGATCACGTCATGGCCGGTTGGTTTGCAGGCACCTTCAGTTGATGACGTCATGGCCGGATGGTTTGCAGGCACCTTCAATTGATGAAGTCATGGCCGGTTGGTTTGCAGGCACCTTCAATTGATGATGTCATGGCCGGTTGGTTTGCAGGCACCTTCAATTGATGACGTCATGGCCTGATGGTTTGCAGGCACCTTCAATTGATGACGTCATGGCCGGTTGGTTTGCAGGCACCTTCAGTTGATGATGTCATGGCTGGTTGGTTTGCAGTCACCTTTAATTGATGACGTCATGGCCGGTTGGTTTGCAGGCACCTTCAATTGATGACGTCATGGCCTGATGGTTTGCAGGCACCTTCAATTGATGACGTCATGGCCTGATGGTTTGCAGGCACCTTCAATTGATGATGTCATGGCCTGATGGTTTGCAGGCACCTTCAATTGATGATGTCATGGCCTGATGGTATAGAAAGTTCTGACATTGTCAGATGATGATGTCATTGACTCATGGCCAGATGGTTTGTAGGCACCTTCAATTGATGATGTCATGGCTGGATGATTTTTCAGATGGTCCTCAGTGTTTCAGCACAATGCTGATGTAGGTAAAAAATGAACTCTTCAACCACTAGGCTACCCACCGCCCCCCACTCCAGTTAGAATAGGTCTACATCAACCTATGCTGATGGAAACAGGCTACTGAATGTATCCGGTTGTGAAGGTCAGTGACTAAGTTGATTCCTTGTCACCGTAACCCCTCAGCATTGACCATGGATTGTAGCTGGTCAAGACAATTATTTACTGGCCACCATCATATAGAGTGAATATTGTTGAGTGTGGTGTAAAACAACCCTCACCCCATCCCTGTAACCCGACAGAAACAGACACATGCTTGCACTCTTGTATTTATGATTAGTGTTAGCAGGGAACTAATCTCTTCAAGACTATAGAGTGGACAGTGTTGATTCCACGCTGTCTTGTACTATCGACCACAGGTTAGTCTGTCGTACGTTGGTTTGTTGTATGTTAGTCTGTCGTACATTGGTCTGTCATATGTTGGTCTGTCATATGTTGGTCTGTTGTACTTTCAGGAATGAGAATCTTTAGCGGATTCGTGGATTTCCTCGAATTTTAGTGACCACAAATTTGTTAAACATAAGCAAGCATCCCCCAAAATTATTGACCACGCTCCATTGCAAAGAAGTTTCAGCTGGAAAGGAAAATGTCCTGGAAAAGGTCTGCTGTACGTTGGTCTGTTGTACGTTGGTCTGTTGTACGTTGGTCTGTCACACGTTGGTCTGCTGTACGTTGGTCTGTCGTATGTTGGTCTGTCACACGTTGGTCTGTCGTACATTGGTCTGTCACACGTTGGTCTGTCACACGTTGGTCTGCTGTATGTTGGTCTGTCGTATGTTGGTCTGTCGTACGTTGGTCTGTCACACGTTGGTCTGTCACACGTTGGTCTGTCGTAGGTTTGTATGTCAAATGTTGGTCTGTTGTACGTTGGTCTGCTGTACGTTGGTCTGTCACACGTTGGTCTGTCGTATGTTTGTATGTCAAATGTTGGTCTGTTGTACGTTGGTCTGCTGTACGTTGGTCTGTCACACGTTGGTCTGTCACACGTTGGTCTGTTGTACGTTGGTCTGTCACATGTTGGTCTGTCATAGGTTTGTATGTCAAATGTTGGTCTGTTTTACGTTGGTCTGCTGTACTTTGGTGTGTCACACGTTGGTCTGTCGTACGTTGGTCTGTCGTACGTTGGTCTGTTGTACGTTGGTCTGCTGTACGTTGGTCTGTCACATGTTGGTCTGTCGTAGGTTTGTATGTCAAATGTTGGTCTGTTGTATGTTGGTCTGCTGTACGTTGGTCTGTCACACGTTGATCTGTCACACGTTGGTCTGTCGTACGTTGGTCTGTCGTAGGTTTGTATGTCAATGTTGGTCTGTTGTACGTTGGTCTGCTGTACGTTGGTCTGTCACACGTTGGTCTGTCACACGTTGGTCTGTCGCATGTTGGTCTGTCGTGTGTTGGTCTGTTGTAGGTTGGTCTGCTGTACGTTGGTCTGTCGCACGTTGGTCTGCCGCATGTTGGTCTGTCGTATGTTGGTTTGTTGTACATTGGTTTGTTGTATGTTGGTCTGTCATACCTTTGTTGTATGTTGGTCTGTCGTAGGTTGGTCTGTCATATGTTGGTTTGTCCTATGTTGGTCTGTTGTTGTTTGGTCTGTCGTAGGTTGGTCTGTCGTAGGTTGGTCTGTCATATGTTGGTCTGTCATACATTGGGCTGTCGTATGTTGATCTGTCGTACGATGGGCTGTCGTACGATGGTCTGTCGTACGTTGGTCTGGCGTATGTTGGTCCGTGGTATGTTTGTCTGTTGTAGGTTGGTCTGTTGTATGTTGGTCTGTGGTATGTTGGTCTGTGGTATGTTTGTATGTCGTATGTTGGTCTGTCGTATGTTGGTCTGTTGTAGGTTGGTCTGTCATAGGTTGGTCTGTGGTATGTTGGTCTGTGGTATGTTGGTTTGTCGTAGGTTGGTCTGTTGTATGTTGGTCTGTCGTAGGTTGGTCTGTCGTATGTCGGTCTGTCGTAGGTTGGTCTGTCGTAAGTTGGTTTGTGGTATGTTTGTCTGTCGTAGGTTGGTCTGTCGTAAGTTGGTTTGTGGTATGTTTGTCTGTCGTAGGTTGGTCTGTCGTAGGTTGGTCTGTCATAGGTTGGTCTGTCGTGAGGAGGAGGCCTTGTACAACTGGGGTATCAGTTTGTCTCATCTCTGTCTGAGTGTGATGAATCGTTCTATTGGATGTGATCAATTGTCGACTGGCTCTGCTGTCTCTGTATCAGATGGCCAAATTCTGCTGGCCTCCGTGATGGAGGAGGTACAGGCATCTGGAGTGGGACACCGTGTCACAAGCATTGATTCTGTGTGTAATGGTGCTGGGATGTTTGTTGACTGGAGTAATACCTGACAACATGGCCCTGATGACAGAACTAGATACTGGTTGTTGTTCCGTGGGCGAGGGTAGAATACTGTTATGACATAGGCACCAACAGGGGTTGAAAAATACCATTGCCAAACGCCCATACCAAGTGAGGTTTAGAATTTGGGTGAGTAATATACGTTTTCTAGCGTGCCCATGGATAAGTAGAGCTCACAAAATCAACAGGGTCAAGTTTCACGAGAATGTAATCATGTGATTATGTAACGATATTTGATTTGGTGGCCAAGAATGGCAATCTAATTTGCATACAGCTACACCTGTCAAACAATGGGATTAATACACTTTGATGTCAGGCAGGTCGTAGTAACACTTCCACATATTGCACATGCTTCTTTGAAATGGAATGACAGTTGACTACATTTCTTGGAATTAGTAATGCAAGGTAGATCTCGTGCCGAGTTTTGAAGCTTCATTGGGCCTAGCTTTGATTAAATATTTTGTTTGAATACACCAGTCACTGTTGAGGCTCACGTGCTGTCGATTGCGAAAACTTTGTTGACGCATAACAGTCAAACTACAACAAATATGTCTTTTAATGAGTCAAAGTATGGCATTTATGATATATATACATGATATATATACATGATATATATCCATTCTCTGTCAACTTATGTTCATTTCAAGGCGTCAATAGTGATAATCTGACTGTGGTTGCAATAAGTAACAGTAAGTTGTGCAGTCTACCAATACCTTTACACACAATTTCACCGAAATATATCTAAACAATATTGAATGAAATTTTAAATAGAATGAATAAAATATGCTGCAAACATTAGTTTTTTGTGATGGGGAAAAGAGTCAGTGTAAAACTTGAGTCTAAGAAAAATGTTCATTAATATTGGGAGCCATGCGTTACCGCACGCTATAGCCAAGTTAGCACTATATTGACACAACTTCTCGTGAGGACTATCTCTGCTGTAGGTCATTTGTCTCAAAGACAAGCAACAAGTTTTTGTGAGAATCCATCAGAGGCGAACCCGTGACCTTCGGATTGTTAGCCCGACTGCTAACCAACTGAGCTACGTCCAAACTGTGAAACTAAGTGCAAATTTACCAAGTCATGCCTACGCCATTACGGAACTGAATGAAAAGGGTCGACTAGGTGACGGACACTTACGAAGGTAACAGTGTCTTGTGGCATGGTGTCTTGTGACTTTCGTCTAAAGACACTTACCAGTGATCCCTTTGCCATGAGGCACTCTCGCCCCATTCCTTCATCTACAAGATGCCGAGTGGTGAGGAAGGAGCCGATATGGCACGAACTGAAACGGCTCCAGGTGTCAGGCATCAGACGTCAAACTCGCAGTTATGCATGAATAACATCGTATTTAATAATTCGTCGGGTGATTTTTGTGACAGAAAAGTGTGGTAGGGATCACTGTAAGGATAATGTGGATAATAGTAAGGAACGAGGGAGGCACAAGCATGGCTAGTGACGACACTTGGGTGAGTTCGCTTTTGAATGAGTACTGAATAAATGTAGTGGGTCAAGGTGGCTTGTGTGAATGTTCCCCCCCAGTTTCCAGTAGCCTAAACCATTGCATCCTTTTTTCTCGACGTTTTTGAGAGAAGGATATTAGGAGCCGCTATAGAATCTATAATAGCCACTAAACTGGTACCTAACCCTAATGATCGTAAAGGGGTGATTGATCGTAAAGGGGTGATTGATCGTAAAGGGGTGATTGATCGTAAAGGGGATCCAAGGGCTAATGATAGTGATCAGGGTAACCTACCCTGACACTGGCGACATTTGGGTGTGTTCAGCGCCAATATAATGTACCTAATAGACACGATTTCTGTGCATGATAATGAAAATGAATGAATCTAAAAAATAACATATGTATATTAGTTCCCATTTATAATCATTTTAGCCTCTTTAATTACAAAAAATATGAAATATAAAATATTTTGAAAATAAATGTGCTTTCATAAACTAGCACTTGTAACTTTACATTGCCGGTATCGCACATGTCCGATCATGTAGCAGCGGTCTATTTCAAGTTTCTTCGGCAGTGGGGACAAGTTTAAAAGAAAGGCGAAGAGGAATTCTGAAAATTCAAATGAATCTATATTGGCCAGGGATAAGAAGTATGACGAATGTAAACGAAAGCGAACATTCATCGCTGGCTGGAAAGACCAATTTCCTTGGGTTGTGTTTGATGACATGGCTGAAGTTCAAAGTACCAAAACATACAAGCTTGTAATCGAAAGAGAACTATTATTGATGGATGTTCAAATTTCAGAATTGAGTTTTTGAAAAGTCATGATACCTCAGATGTACATTTGGAGTGGGTGTCAAATGAGTGAGTGAGTTTGGTTTTACGCCGCTTTGAGCTATATTCCAGCAATATAACGGCGGGGGACACCAGAAATGGGCTTCACCCATTGTACCCATGTCTGGAATCAAACCCGGGTCCTCGGCGTGACGAGCGAACACTTTAACCACAAGGCCACCTGACCGCCCCGCGTGTCATATGAGAGAGATGCTCTTCGTGGGAGTACAGCAAGTACGAGGGGTGTTCATTAAAGATTTCCCCTAAACCACTTAGGGTTATCATATTTGGTTGAAATTTCACATGTGTAATGATACATGTATGTATGGGTTATGTCTGAATTTGCAGCACCAAACTATTCATCTTACCACTTTTACAGGTGTTATGATCGAGTAGGGTGTGACAATGGAGCCAGTAGAATACCGAGCAGTGATTAGGTTTTTATATTTGAAAGGTCGCACAACAAAAGAAACTTTCGATGAAATGAAAGCAACTTATGGGGAAGATGCCCCATCATATGACGTTGTTAAACACTGGCATCGCCAGTTCAAGTGTGGTCGGACATCTGTGGAAACAGCTGCCATTCCTGGTCGCCCCCATTCAGCCAGTGATGAGGACACTATCCATCAAGTGGAGACCGCCATTTTGGCAGACCGACGTATAACTGTTCGCAAGTTAGCACAAGATGTCAAGTTCAGTGTAGGGTCTGTGGAAAAAATCATCCATGACAATTTGAACATGCATAAGGTGTCTGCACGATGGATTCCCAGGTTGCTCACACCTTTCCAAAAGCAGGAAGGAGTCAATTGCTCAAAGGATCTTTTGGACATGTGCCCCCCCAAAAAGGCAAACTTTTTTGACAGACTTATCACACAGGATGAAACATGGGTCCATCACTATGATCCTGAGACTAAAGTTCAGTCGATGCAATGGCAGCATGTGGAGTCACCACCCCCAAAGAAGGCACGTGTCCAACCCTCTGCAGGCAAGGTCATGCTCACGGTGTTTTGGGACCAGCACGGAGTAGTGATGATGGATTTCTTGGCAAAGAGAACCACAATTACATGAGCTTATTATACTTCACTGCTGCGGAAATTGCGGGACGCTGTCAAGCTTAAGAGGTGTGGCATGCTGACCAAGGGTGTCCGTCTCCTGCAAGACAATGCTCCAGTTAACAACTCTCATGTTGCCCAGACAGAAGCGCGGTCCTGTGGCTATGAAATCCTTCCACATCCTCCTTACTCTCCTGACCTTGCACCATCTGACTTCCACCTCTTTCCAACCATGAAGTCATTTTTGAAGGGAAAACGTTTCACAGATGATGAAACACTGATTTCTGAAGTCAAGTCCTGGTTTGAGACGCAAAATGAGGGCTTTTACAAGCGAGGACTCCATAGTTGCATAAGACGATGGGAGAAGTGTGTAACTCTTGGTGGTTCCTATGTGGAGAAAGACTAATACCTATGCCAAGTTTCATTCCACTAAGTCCATCGGAAGTGGGTCAGGGGAAATCTTTAATGAACACCCCTCGTACGAACCATGTGTTGATTAGACTCACTGTGTCTGTACTGAACATCATATGTGGAGTAAATAAACTTTTATTACAGAAATCCTTGGAGGACAGGTGTATCTCTGATTCTCAGTTCTGTAGTACTAACATTTTACTGAATTTAGTTACATGTTAAAATAGGGCAAGTAAGAATGTTGGTCATATTTGCCCTTTGTCAAGTAACATTTTTATAAATGTTCACCCCCTGAATGTAGGGGGGCAGAGAACCCAAAGGTTGCTAGTTTGAGCATAGACCCTTAATAGGGGCAGATTTCTACTAGTCCTTGTGATACCTTAACTATTGGGCAGTTTGGCAGATAGTACAGGACTACCGCTGCTATGCATGTAAAGTGTTTCTGGATGTACACCTGAATTTGTTCAATTTGATGGCAGGAGCTTTTTGAAAAAACTATTTGTAGACATTACTCAGTCATTTTCATACAAAATGAAATGAAATCAGGGTTTGCACAGATTTGAAAAGTGCAAACATGTCTGATGAAAAGTGCAAACATGTCCGATGAAAAGTGAAAACATGTCCAATGAAAAGTGCAAACATGTCCGATGAAAAGTGCAAACATGTCTGATGAAAAGTGAAAACATGTCCGATGAAAAGTGCTTGATTCTGCCATTTTACCATGGAAGTTCTGGAATTTTATTGACAGTACTTGAATGTAAATGTTTGTTTGTTTGTTTGTTGTTTAACGCCACACTCAGCAATATTCCAGCTATATGACGGTGGTCAGTAAATAATCTAGTGTAGACCAGACAATCCAGTGATTGACATCATGAGCCTGATCTATGCAACTGGGATACGACGACATGCATGAACCAAGTCAGCGAGCCTGACCACCCGATCCGTTAGTCGCGACTTGTGTTTACATCTTGGGGAAGTTTGTGAAATTCACACGGCCTTGTTTTACTGCTACAGGAAGGACATTGGTAGTGGTACACTGGGGAAAAGTGCGCTAAGGTCTCACAGATCAAGCAGTCGTCACTAGAAAAATTGTCTGTCATTGTTGGGATTAAAGTTTCAGCATTTCCGTGTTGTTAAACGAGAAAAGAGTTCTTAAAAACAAATGATTTTCCTTGAAAAGTGCTTTAAGAGTGATTGAATTTAGAGTGCAAAGATCTGTATGAATCTTGTGAAATTTGTTATCTTATATATTAAGCTAGTTGGTCAGTTTATTTGCAATATTTAAAATTTTGACTTTAATATGTTCTTACATTCCCTCAGAATGTCTTTCTCTACTGAAATTGCAAGACCCGATTTTTTTTCTGTGTGATAACATCATATTTTGTTATATTCATTTGGTTTAGTGTTTATATTTCATATTTCTACAGAAAATCTTTGAATATCAATGCTGATTGTAAAACTTTTCAGTAGCTGTCTTTGTTTTTTTAAACTGTTGACTTCCTATCCAGGTGAGCTACAGTGGAGTGGGCTTATTTTAGGAAAAACAGTTTTGATAGTGGACCTATTGGTGAAAAATCCAGGTTGGTCGATATAAAACAACAAAAGATAAAGATGATACTTGAAACTAATGTTTTGTGTAACAAAAAGTTCTCTGAAAATGTTTCCACATGTGCTAGTTAAGCTTGTCTCTCCGTGTAACTTAACACACCCTATTGTCTGACGAAAGTTTTTGTGGTGAACACGTACGTTTTGTATTAAATGACAGAATAAAAAATAGTGTCTTCAGATTATTTCTTTTCAGCTTTTCATTTTTTAGTGTGTGCGGAATCTGTAAACCAATTACAAACCAATTCCGTTACACATTTCCCCTACAGTGTATATAGGCCGATTATTAGGTACTGGTGAAACTGGAGACTACTGCCATTAGCTGGTGTTTTGTAACTGTATTGGGCCTGGGAATCCATCATCTTGTGCTATCCTTTGATCCTCGCAATAGGTACAGACCATGAGTACATTGTTCTTGACAAATACTGTTAGCTCACAGCATCCTGCCCCCAACACCATCTCCAGCCCGATCTCACTTGGAGACATGTGCAACCGTAATGGATGAGTTTTTTCATCACAAATTTGGCAGCGATTGACATGTTGCAGTTGCAAGAAGATAAATAGCTGAATACCGTATTTAACCAAGAGAGTGGCATCACAGCTTGTTACAGCTTGCTGGGAAGGGATGCCACAAGTCGGGGGGTTATTGTACTCCACGGGGAGTCGTTAGCGGAAGATGTGTCCAGTTCCCCTGGCTTGACAGATGAGTGACGAGGATGTGCGACCTGGCTGATGTCGCATGTCATTCCGCAAATGCGGATTGTTGTTCATGCTATCAGTCACTGGTTTGCCTGACAAAGAGTGTATAAATGACTGAATGACATATCATAAAAACATCTTGTTCCCTCTCTGATTCAGTCACTGACTGACACTCACT